TAGAGTTCTATTCTTTTTTAGAACATGTACTTTACTATGTTCATGAGAAATTTGGCCGCTAGGATCATTACTAAATTTAGACCAAACTACAAAAATCATTTCTAAATTTAGACTAATACATGACCATCATATCTAAATTTGGCAGTACGAAATAAATTTTTAAACCCAAAATCACGTGAAGTCCTATTTTCGAAAATTTTTATTGCATTTTTGAACAAATTACAAAATTGCTATTTTTGAAATTTGGCCATGTGGCGCAGAAATAGGAGGTCTTTAGACCGAGCCAACCATAGTAAAAATGGAAAAAAAGACAGAGTGTGATAGTGAATCCAGCTCACACTCAACTTCAAAAGGTCGGTATGTTTTCTCATTTCACTTATCTCACCTAAAAAACTCAGTAATGGTATCATTGTTGCCTTATTTTCTTATTATTATAAACAGCAAGTTCTGTTACAAGTGATACCTCAAGGTGAATAATATATACAAGTCTATAATTTTCTTTTCCCATTTTTTTCTAACAAGTTATTCTTAACTATTATTGTAGCAATGTTACTGTCAAATTTTCCAAAAAGTCTGAAAGCATAAGGTAACTGTCTGAAAATGTTAAACAAAGGTACTGATAATCTTTGTAATGCTTGTTTTTTAACAAGCTGTTTTTATTATTTTCATAAGTATGGACAAGTTAGAAAAGTATCGTGTCCAATGGTGGAATCAGGGTAACCTTCACCCTATGGCAGAATGGGACAAAATAAAGTAAGTGATGCATATCTTTTATCTACCAAAGATAAATAAACTAACCTTTCACTAATTATATCAAGGCTCCCATATATTCTTGTGAAAGATGGGACTATTGATAAATATGAAGAACATGCAGACCGATTTAATGTCCATGGGTGTTGGGAGTGGGATGCAAAACTTGAAAAAAATGGAATTGTTTTAGGCAATGTGACAATTTATGAATTACCATCACAATCACATGAAGTTTGCATTGGTGCAATTGCTAAACTAATGATGAAACAGTGTAGTCCTGCTGATGAGACAGATGCTGAGATTTATAGCTTTGGGGCTACTAGTAGGCATCAATTCATTAACTTTCTCATTCTATGCCCATATTTTTCAAACTAATCTTGATTGCTTAAAGCAACTCGTGTTAGTGGTTCTGGCAAAGAATCTGATCAACCATTTCGCCCAAGGAAATCTAAAGTAATCTCACCATATGGGAGTGATGGAAAGGTACCTTTTTATTTTTTGTTGCTTTTGAATTCTTCAAAGTTGATTTCATATTATATCTTTAATTTGTAGAATAAACCATGGCCAAACCTTGTTGTAGAAGTAGCATTTTCAGAGTCTGTTGGTCATGTCAAGGAAAAGGCACAGAATTACTGGTTACATAACAATTGTGTCCATGATGTAATTGTTGTTAAGATTGATTATGTCCCCAAAGATCAAATTCCTCAGCATATGAAAGTAAGTATATTTTCACAGTGTATGTGTCATTTTTTTTTGTTGTGTATCATTCTAAAGTCTTGATCCTCAACAAGTATGGCATTATTGTGTATCAGGTACATATGTGCAACAAAAACTTAAACCTATAAACAAGGTATGTTACATCAGCAAACCTTGTTCTCCATTGATTTATAAAATTTATAATATATATTGGTTAATTATTAGTTTGAATTTGGTACACATGATGAAAATGGGAATTCATTAAATTACCTATATACAAGGCACACATGTGATCAGAATTCCATTAGATTGTTTATATTACAATGTAGAACCCTCTATTCAAATTCCTAAAAGTATTTTACCAGATCCTATTTTACTTGATTTCTTTCCTGTTAGGCAAGCAATCCTCAGAACATTTGGTAAAGTGTCTTGAGATAATTTGCAGTGCTTATTTTATAGTTTATCAATGATTGAAATGAATGTCTTTGAATATTATTGCTTTATATAAAAAATTTATTAATAAAAAACATCATGCCTAATATTTTTTTTCATGTGATCAAACCTTATAAGTATGAGAGGGATATCTTGATTATGTTTGACTTTGGCCAAAAAGGCAATTTATTTGATCTTATACAAATAAATCATGTTGGTATCAATGCTTAATTACTTCTGACAGGCCTCGCAAGAGCCTTATATTCACTCAATCACATAATTGTTAAATATCTCTATAGATAATGTTTCATGAGGAAAAGATTAATTGTCAGGTCAAGAAGGGGCTCAATATTTTTCATCAGCAATTGCTTAAATATAATATAAATACAAGATGTCGCCTGTTATAAGCATTATGAAACATATGGAATTCAAATAATAAATCATGTGTACAAAAGGTACAGAATTTGTATGGAATTTGACACTTTTCCATACTTTAAAGTACAAAATTGTACTGAATTGGTGCTGAATTGGTACAGAGCCAATATGGAAAATTATTAATTAAACCTATTACTTTATTAATATAATGTATTTTAGTTACTGAATCCATACTAAATTACATATTTAAACATATTTTAATTGCTGGAAAGGTACTGAATCCATACTAAAAATTACATGTCCAAGACATATTTTAAATATGGAATGCATACTGAAATAAATATTACATACAGGAATAGTACTAGCACTACTAATATTAATGTGGAAATAGCATTGAAACTATATTGTTTTATTATTATGGTAATAGATAGTAATGTTATCATAAATATTAAATATTTTATTGATTATTTACATTTGGGTTATAATGAATTAAATAATAATAAAAACTATCATTTGCAATTATAAATGTAATCTTCATAATGATTAGATGCAGTATTGGTAGACATAAAGTTAATTAGTATATTAATAAATTATTAGCATTCCAATCATTGTCATCAGTATTTACTTCAGAGTACTAGATAATGAAAAGTTATCACCAAAAGCAAGTTAATAATAAATAGTAAACACCAGTATTAATAAATTGTTAAATTCCAATCATTGTCACCAGTACTTACTTCAAGTAAAAAAGTTACTGTCACATGATCCCGAAAGCAAGTTAATAATTAATAAATTGTTTAAATCCCTTTACTATCCAATCATTGTCATCGGTATTCACTTCAGAATACTTTGATGAACTAGATGATAAAAAAATTATTGTCACACAATCCTGAAAGCAAGTTAATAAGTTTAAATTCCTTTACCATTATTTACTTCAGAGTACTTTGATGAACTAGATGATAAAAAAGTTACTATCACATGATCCCGAAAGTAATAATAATAACAATAAATTGTTGAATTCCCTTTACCATCCAACATTGTCACCATATTTGCTTCAGAGTACTAGATGATAAAAAAGTTACCATCACATGATCCCGAAAGTTGCACGGCAAATTTTTCAACGATGATGACACCTTTTATAGTAATAATATCGTTCATTTCTTTTTCATTATATATAAAAAGTAATGTTATCATATTCCGAACAAAAACAAAATCTAATTAAATTATATAAAAAAGCAACAGAAGCTTTTCTTTTAAGAGATTATGACATTGCATATTCTTTATCCACAGAGGCGATTGTTTCCCTTAATAAACTTTTAACTTTTACTTCTACCAACACAAACAACGACTCTACTATTACTATTGCTACTGCTGCCAACAATAATCAGGGCAATAATGCTTTAAAAAAGAGGATTTGGTGTCTTTATGTTAATCTTATTGCTTCTTTACTCTCAGAAAAATCGCCCGTAAATACAAGCAATCTTTATTTAATAAGATTTTTAAAATTACCATCTGAAATTGTAGCAGAAGAAATTTGGAATAAAGTTATTGTTGAAGGATTTGATAATGAAGAAGGTCAAGTTCCTGGTGAAATCGTCATTTCCTGGTAATAAAATTTTTTAAATAAAATATATATTTTATAGAAAAAAAAAAAACCCCCTAACTATTATTTTTTTTTAAAAAAAAAATTAGTGTTATATTATGTTTAAATAAACAAATTCCAAAAATTGCACGAAAGATAATAGAACAATGGTTAATTTCAATACCAGACACATTAACACAAAAACCTATTCAAATGCCAATCAATGAAACAACAGAAAATCACAATGCTGTTGAAGATTTAAAAAATTATGAACAAATTATAGAAATTTATATTTTAAACGTATTACCAAAACTTAATGATTGGGATTATGCTAAATCATTTCTTAATGATAATGACATAATTAATAAAGATCGTAAGATATTATACGAAAAGAAACTTTTAAAATTAAAGAATAAATATGATAAGTTAATAAAATCCTCATCATCTAAATCAAAAAATCATCAGCAACAACAAAAATTTGGTAATGGGTTCATACATACTAGAGTAAAATATTTCCATTCAAATAGTAATAATGTTAATGTTAATGGTGATGGTAAATTTCAACCAAATAATCATTTTCAACAACAACAATTACAAAAATATAATAATAATAATAATAATAGCAACAACAACAACAATAATAGAATTTCAATAATTACAGACACCAACAATAACATTAACAATAATAATAGTATCAGTAGTGGCATTACCGGAAGCAGTAGTAGGAACATTAATGACAATCAACCTTCGACATTAGCACAATCATCATCATCATCATCACCTACAACATCAATACCACAAATAACAGCTTTATTCAGAACAGTTAATAATCTTGTTTATACATTCACATTAAATTTACAAAGGACAGCTCCAGTTCTATCATATACTAGAATTGTTTTCTTTTTCATTTTTGTCATCATGATAAATAGCTTGAGTAGAAGTAGTAAAAGAAAACTTCGCAAACTTTTATATATTATGTTAATTAGATTCTGGAAAACTATTAAGGCTGGAATCACTATGCTATAATGTGTGGATGTAATTTGGAGCGCATCATTTGAATCTTATTACATCTTAATATAAATATTTATTTTATTATTGTACTCTTTTTAAATTGTAGAAAAATGTATATAATTTTTTTCAATAAATAAACAAAAATTACAATATTTTTTTATAAGGTTCTAGGTATTTTTTTATACTCTAAACTTTGAATAACATCACCAACTCTAAAATCTTCAAAAGAATTAAATGAAACACCACATTCTAAACCTTTGTTTACCTCGTTAACATCTTTTTTAATATGTTTTAAAGTTTCCAAAGCTCCTTTATATTTTCCCAGAAAAATAACAAGCAAATAATAAGTAAAAATGTAATGAATAAATAATTAAGGAAAAAAAAAAATTTTTTTTTCAAACTTACCTTCCCAAATTTCTTTCTTATTTCTAATAATTTTGACACTTTGATTTTTACGAATTGTACCCTTTGTTACTCGACAACCTGCTATAGATTTGAAATTTTTACCTTTAACATTGATTTGAAAATTTTGTATTACACTAGCTTCACCTGTCACATTAATTTCTATTCTAGGTGGCAACATCTCACTTAATCTCGCTTTAATATCGTCCAACAATTTATAAATTATTTGATAACAATTTATCTCAACGTTTTCTACTTTGGAGCGATTTTGTACCTTTTTGTTCACTTTAACATTGAATCCTAATACGATACCTATATAAGTGTATATAAATGTTTAATATATTTTTTTCTCTAAATAAATAAATAAATGATTGAATAATCGATTACCTTTAGCAACTGATGCCATTTCAATATCTGATTCTGTGATTTCACCAACACCAAAATCAACAACATTAACTCTAACCTCGTTATTTCCTAAACCATAAAGTGCATCAATAACTGCCTCCACTGATCCGCTGACATCACCTATTTATTTATTCATTCAACATTGTTTTAATAAAAAAATTAAATAAAATATTAAAAATTATTGTTTATTATACTTTACAAACAATAATAACCTTTAACCACCAAATTTAGTTCTTTAATTTTATTTTCTTCGGTTTTTTCTTCTTTAATGGGATCTGATTGAGATGGTGGGGGTGGTGGTGTGGGATACTCTGATAATAATCCTTTATGAAACATCCAAACTTCTTTTTTAAAATTTTTAGTTTCACTTCTTTCATTATCTAATTCTTGTTTTCTGATTCTTCTTTTTTCATTAATCACTTCAAGATCTTTGAGTTGTTTGTCTCGTAATTCTTTTTGTTTTCGATTTTCTACTACAGTTTTTGCCAAATCCTACATGTATTATTTATTTATTTATTTATTTATTTATTTATTTATTTATTTATTTATTTATTAAGTTAATTTGGGGTTTTTTTTACCAATTATTAATTACTTACTTCATCTTTAGCCTCAAGTACTTCATCTCCTGCATTTGGCAATTCCTTCCAACCAGTTACTTTAACAGGCGTACCAGGTAAAGCTTGTTTAGTAATTCCACCTTTATCGTCAATCATTGACTTTACTTTACACCAACTTTTTCCCGCTACTATTATGCTTCCTTGCTTCAAGGTTCCTCGTTTCACTAAAACTGTAGCCACGTTTCTAAAATGATATAATAAATATGTAGCTTCACATATAGATACATACATTTTATATAATATTTGATTATATACCCTCTTCCTTTTTCAAGTTGTGATTCAATAATAACGCCCTCAGATTCCATATCAAATTCAGCACGTATATCCAGTAATTCTGCTAATGCTATTATAGCCTCTTCCAAATCATCTAAACCTTTACCCTTAATATGTGTATAGACGTAGTATTAATTATCAATGAATTAATTGATTGATTAATCAAAAAAATTTTTTAAAAAAATAATTTTTATACCGTTAAAGCAGATATTTCTACAGATTGTGTCTCACCACCATATTCTTCAAGCTGCACACCGTGTAATAATAATGATTGGCGTATTTTATTCTAAATTATAATAAGAGAAATAAATAGGTTTTAATAAATGTTTTAAATAATAATAGTGGTAATAAATTCTATAATAATTTAAGTATTTACTGGATCTCCACCATGTTTATCAACTTTGTTTATGGCTACTATTATTGGTACTATTACAAAATTATAAAATAAATAGTCTGATTTTTTTTTTTTAAAAATTATATGAATAATTTTGATATTTTTTTTTCTACCATTGGCACTTTGTGCATGTGTAATTGCTTCTATGGTTTGAGGCATCACACCATCATCTGCTGCAACAACCAAAATCACTATATCTGTAACATTTGCACCACGCGCTCTCATAGCTGAAAATGCTGCATGTCCGGGTGTATCAAGAAACGTGATAACTTTTTGAGATGGTAATAAAACTTTTGTATTGTTTTATATATATATTTAATATATTTGATTTTTATTTTAAAAAAAACCACTAATTGAACAATTCATCAACAAAGTTTTACTAATTTATAAATACCAGAAAATGCACCAATGTGTTGTGTAATTCCACCAGCTTCTTTTGCTACTATTGATGATTTTCTCAAAGCATCAAGTAATGTTGTTTTACTTTTTTTTTTTTTTATGAATTTAAGAAAAAAGGATTAATAGATGGATAATTTTTTGTTGCTTATATCTTTTAATTATTTTCATTTACCCATGATCTATATGTCCAAAAATTGTCACAATTGGTGGCCGATTAGGAAATTGTGACATATCTAAAGGCTTTGGTCTTTGGCAAGGAAAAAACAAATTAGTAAATCAATTCATGGAACAAATAACATATGTATATATAAATTTAAATATAAATATAAATTTAAAAAAGTTATCAAGAATCCAAATAAAAAAAACATACTTTACTTTGGGAAAAGATCAATAGCTGCTTCAACATTTACCACAGGATTTAAATCATATTCCATTGCAATTAAAGATGCTACCTCAGAGTTTAATACTAAAAAGAAAATTATATATATATATATATACATTCAATAAGTGATATTTTAATCATTATATCTCATCATCTTAATATATATAGTATCATCATTGTAACTCACAATGATCATATGATGTATACTCTATTCCCAAGGTTTTTAATTTAGCTTCAAATAACTCTAGAAAAAAAAATTTTTGGAAAAAAATAGCAATCAAGTCAATTGAATTTATTTCTTTTTTAAAAAAAATAAGAAAATAATAATAAATTTATTTCTCACCTAACCTTTCACCAATTATCTTTGCTAAATTTGAAACACTTATAGCCTCAGGAATAAAAATTGCTTTTTGAATCTTTTGTTCAATTGGTGGTGGTAAAGGTTTTTTCTTTGGTTTGTCATCATCAATAATTAATTCAAAATCTTCTTCCTCCTCTTCCTCCTTTTCACGAGCCTTCCTACTAAATTTTGTTTTACGTGTTTCTGCTGTTACTACTGGTGAAAAAACATTATTAAAATCATCTTTTTTCACTTGTTTAAAATCAAAACTTTTGTTAAATATATGGCTTTCTTTGTAATTAATAGCAGATTTTTTTGATTTTAATTCTTCGGATTGTTCTGAAATTGTTTTAGGCTTATTCCATCTATTGATACTGTAATTTTTGTTGTTATTAATAATATCATTATATGATTTATTATACATAAAACGGCCATTATTATTACTATTGATTTTTTTTATTAAACCAGAAAATCTGGCAGGTTTAAAATTCATCCTATTTCCTATTGTTGTTATTATTATTATTATTATCAGATATATTATTATAGTTCAAAAATCATGTAAAAAAACTTCCTTACCTTACTTGTAGCAAAAAATTTGTTCATCTCTAAATTTTTGAGATATGTAACATTCGTAGTACCAGATAATTATTGGCCAGTTTTCAACACAGAAATCCGTTTTTTATATTTTTTTTGTATATTAATATAATTAATTACATAGATTTTATAGAATCTTTGCATAATAATGTTAAACGTTTTAAAATATCTGAATCACTGATGTTATTGCCATTAACATCCTTGCGTTCCAACAATTATCTTCATGTACAAAATAAAGAATATAATATATATAGTAATATAGTAAATAAATGAAATAATGTCGAATATAAAATATATACAGTTTATAACCTCATTTAAATCCCACATATGAACTGGAGAAGATTATCTTAATATGAATATTAATATAAACTTTTCTTCATTTACATCCAAATTTTTGGCACCATTATTAATATTGGTACAAAAACGTATAAATAGATGCTATCCTCCACTTGTGGACCAAAAAAGTTCATTGGCTTGCTGTTTACGATTCATTCAAATGTGAGACTTGAGGCATGTGGCGCTGAAATGTTATGCATGGTTTGGCTTTTATGATGAATCCGATTGCCGCCAGGTTTGAGGTACATAGTGCTGAAGTATCAATCTGTATTTTCCATTTACAATGCATTTGAATGACAGAACTGAGGCACACAGTGCCGAAATAGTATACTTATTTGGTGATGCATGAAAGCACAATTTTTTCTTATCTCTACCTTTGCATATCACTTTTTTGCTATTTACAATTAATGATGCATGACGAAACTTTTGACTTTAGTCATTGACGTAACTAAAGTATTGACTAAAGGTAGTTTCTCACCAGGGGCATTTGATGATTTGACGCAAGTAAAGCCACTTGATGTAGTTAAAAACACTTGACGTAAGTAAAAATACTTGATATGATAAAAATGTGTCCCGGAGATGGATAAAGGATTATCATTATTGTATGTATATTGCAATGATACAAGAAGAATAATTATTGTGGTTATAATTTGGATTAGAAATTTCACTTAATTAAACTAATTATTATTATTATATGAAACTAGATTTTTTTTTTCGTATATTTTACAAATTGAAACTATTCTTTATTATTACATTTCATAAAATGAAAAAAATCAAATTGTCTTTGCATACATACGAGTTGTGTTGATTTGATGTTTTTGACTTTGAAGTTAATTACACGTAATAATAATATTAATAATGTGCTTGAGCGTCTGGATTTGAAACACGCATGGCTGGTCACATCAGACATGTTTAGGCGGAGTTTTAATTTTGAAGTTTTAAAAGTGATAAAATAGCAAACAAAGAAAAAGAAGGATGTTAAAGTTCTTTATTGTTGAAGTATTAGAAACATATCATCCTATTTGGTTTTTTGGGCCTTTTTCAACCTTATATATCTTATTGTGTCTTGACGTTAAACACGAGTATTTTTAATGTGCAAACTGGTAATTAGAATGATAATTAACCCTAAAAAATTTTATTTGCCTCGCTAAAAAAATTATTTTACTATTCAGCTAGTATAAAGTATCCATAACGTTATGATCATACCGTACTGAATTTTAAATTAACGCATATGATCAGATGAATCAATCACTAAAGTTTGGTCCGCTCATGAAATAACGGAGGGAATATACTGAGAAGTTGAGAGTCCTCTTGAGCTCGAAGCTTCTTCTCCCTGTTCTTTTCCCTTGTCATATTACTAATACAAAATCATCAATCTTCTTATCTTTTGGCGATTTAGTTTTTTGGGATAGGTGACGTGGAGCATTAAATCATTAACTCCTGTCATATATCAGAATTAGATGCGTAATCAGATGTATTGAACTCTCTCTAAGGTTCAATTGAATATGCTAGGTCAGAGCTTAAAGTATTCCTGAAAAAGTCAATGCTAAGCAAGGATCTAAATATATTTGCCATAAACGTTGCTGGTATGTATTAGTTATGATTTTGTATCTTGGAATTATTCTAACAAAATCTGTTATAGGTGATACCTTGAAGATGTATGTTATGAGAAAAGAACAAGATGTCCTCGTATACCACCCAATTATAACTGCGAGAATTCCATTACAAATCATGACTGAGGATGAATTTTACTTGTTTATTCACGCCTTGTTGACATTAAGGGTTCATTAACATTTTATAACAACTTTAAGACAAAACTTACCCAGAAAATGAAACTGCAGGCTTTTCCAGTTCGTTCTATTTGCGATCGGGAAGACTTTTCGTCCCTATCTGCATCTGAATGACTTTCTCCACTACAAGCAAAGAATTGTTAATTACCTTGGTAGGAATAATAAATTAACGAGAACTATTCTTACTATATAAATTTTACTCCAGGTGCTTTCGAAAATGGACCAATAAGGTGCATATCAACGGTTCTTTCTATATGGGATGTACCACCGTATATATTCATCCAACAGTCACTATAATAACAACGTCCATGATATTCAATAAAGGAGTGCTAATAGGTATAATTAAAGATTTTTATTAAAAACTTACAAGGCATCCAAACACTCCCCAATATATTATGTGTCTTTGTCATTTAAGCAGAGGAGCAAACACACTCAATTCCTCAGGCACGCTTTTCTTTTAGGACTAAAAGTTTTTGATTGAAGCATTCCTAGCCAGTGTTGCCCGCAATGTTCGGGTGTAACATTACGCACCAATCAAAATTTTAATTTCTGGAGATATTGTACTTGTTACACCACGAAATTTCCCAGCAACATCAGAACAGACGGATCCAATTGTGCTTCCTCTTTTATAATTTCAGTAACATTTGCTAGAGTTTTTGGACCTCAAATCCAAAAGAAATTCATCGGAACAGGGATGATTGGGACATGGGGAGATATTTTTAGCCCTAAGATCAACAATGCCACAGTACAACAGACTATATAATATGCCTGTGAGGAATTCAAAGATGCAAAAAGACTAATTAATACATACACTGTCAAACAAGCCATTTTATTTTCTCTTGCATCGTTATTCCTTTTATCAACTTATCATAGAGGGTGGATGGATCGTCAATATTAAGGCTTTTCAAAAATCCCTTTGTGATAAAGAATAAAAAATGAAGAAGCTCTATAACCAGATCATGATTATCATAATTTGAAAACTACCTCTTCCTGATCTTTTTTGTTTTCTTTTCTTTGATTCTTCAGACATATCAACATTTCCGAAAGTTGTGTTATTTAATCCTATAACTACTACAGAGTTATACACAATTTTTAAGTAGTGAAAGTGAACCAAGGATCTGCCAACTGGCTTAGGCTGCTTAGACTCATTCTTCCACCTTCGTGCCTTGTGGTAGTCAGGCCAACTGTTCCTTAGATGAAAAGAAGTAAAGTTAGTAATATCCAGTATTTTTGCAATTATCTATTAATTTTTTAAGATTGTTGGCATTATGATACCAGTTCTAGAATGTATTTCTTTGCTGAAGTAATTCCATTATTCCACAATTGTAATATTGCTTTTCTTTGGGTTTCTTTATCGGAAGATGACATTGTGGTGATGATTTCATAACAAAACAAAACAATTTAAATGTAGCCTAATATAGTTTAGGTAATATTTTTTATATATTCAAAACATGAAATGAATCACTTTTATTTTGGGAAAGTTATTAGTGTTTGAATTCGCCAAAATTTTTTGTTACACACTGTATGTCATTTATTACCTCATCATTAAATAATTTGTGATTTATTATCTCATCATTAATAAATAATTCACGATTTATTATCTCATCATTAAATAATTCATGATTTATTATGTTCAAAAATATATATAAAAAGGGTAGATTTCTTCCAATCTTCTGAATTTCTTTTAATAATAACAAACCAATTTATAATTATGTAAGGAATGTCCAGTAGATTCAGAAGCAAGAAAGTAAGAAAATTGCACTTGCTAATATAGTTGGCTTGGTCTAAAGACCTCCTAAATTTTGGGCAAATTTTAAAAGTATATAAGTCACTTTCTGTCCTACCTTTTGAAAAAATTGCTCTATTAGTTGATAAAATATGTCTTTAATTTTAATGTAATAGAGATATTTTCTCAAAAATTTTTTGTTGTAGAGTTCTATTCTTTTTTAAAACATGTACTTTACTATGCTCGCGAGGAATTTTTCCGCTATGATCATTTCTAAATTTAGGAAAAAATATTACCAAATTTAGACTAGCTATTGACTATCGTATCTAAATTTGGCAGTAAGAAAACTAAAATCACGTGAAGTCCTATTTTTTGAAGAATTTTATTACATTTTTGAACAAATTACAAAATTGCTATTTTGAAATTTGGCCACATAGCACAGCAATAGGAGGTCTTTAGACCAAGTCAACCATATTCAAAAAATAGAATTATGTGAATATAAGATTGCTAATTCAAGCAAAAATTGGTAAGAAATTTGGAATTGGTAAATCAACTGTAGGAGATATTGGAGAAATGGCTTGCAATTATCGAGAGCTCAGCTGCTACTAAATGAGATCATGAAGGTGAATGGTCACAATTGGAAGAAGTATTAGCAATTTGGATTGATAATGCCAATAGAGCCAATTATACCATAACTGGTTCCATCATTTGTCAAAAGGCACTGGATTATGCTAGAAGACTCGAAATTATTGGATTTACAGCTCACAAGTAGTATCAATTCTTTAATTATTTTACAGTATCTATTTAATAGGGATGGTATCCATTTATTCATTTATACAAACTATTCATTTTATTTGAACTGTTTGTTTATTCATTTTGTTTGAAATATTTGAATTATTTGTTTTATTTGCTTTATTTGAACTGAATCATTATTATTCATTTATTTGCTTTATTTAAATTATCAATTGAATTAGTTCTTGTTATCAGGCAGGTATCAGTAGATACCTACCTGATCTGTAGGTCAATATGTTTTTCACATATCCTTCAGACACGTGAAAAAAGGGATATTGACTATAGGAAGTATAGGAGGTATAGAGTTCTATTCTTTTTTAAAACATGTACTTTACTATGCTTGTGAGGAATTTGTCCACTATAATTATTTCTAATTTAGGAAAATTATTATCAAATTTAAACTAGCTCTTGACTATCGTATCTAAATTTGGCAGTAAGAAAACTAAATTACAAAATTGCTATTTTGAAATTTGTCTATATGGCGCAGCAATAGGAGGTCTTTAGACCAAGCCAACCATATTATTTTCAACATCGTTAACAAACTAAAATACAAATCCACCTTGAATTAAATTTGTTATTTATTTTATTGTTACTATTTATTATTCTCAAAAAATGTCAACCTCACATACATCAGCAAACACCAACCAACAAAACATATGTGTAACATTTTTTTTATATTGATGCTCAATTGTTTTAAAGTAGGGGCGGGACTATATGGTATTCCATTTACACTGCTAAACCTATAAGATATTTTTAATAATTATTATTATTATTAGATCAGACAATAGATAGTAAAAAAAATGTTTCGTTAACATTTGATCCAATATGCAAGTATAATTTTATTTTTTATATTTTAATCTATGATTGAAAATATAAACTTCACTTATCTACTGAATTTTTAGCTGGTAATGAACCACTTGAATCAGTCTTTGAACTTCCCAAGGGTTGGGTACTGAAAAGCAACCAAAATTATGGACAAAAAGGTGGTGGTAATCGTATTCCTGTGCAAATTACAAGTTTGTTGGAAGGTTTCTTTTTAGCTGGAGAAGCTGATAGAACAAGAAGATACACTGCTGAAACTATATTGGAAGAGTTGAACATTATGGTGGAAGAAGAAGACCAGTTTGATAAAAGCGAAGTTCCAAAACTCCAAACTATAAAATGCAAAAAGAACCTTGAAAGAAGTTGGTATTCCCATTGAAATGAGTAGAAAACATAGTAATTATAACACTATTATAGGGGAAAATTGATCGACATACTTAATTTCATATATAAAATATAAAGCAGAAACCTTCAAATGGCGACTTCGTACATAACTTTCTTTTTTTCTAACATATAATAAAGATTTTTTTTTGATTTTCATGTTTTTTCACATTTATCCTATTGTTTTGCATAAAATTTGGTGCGATATAAATTTTGTATGTTGTATAACTATTTCACAAACACAGTCGATTATTTTCTTCAATTAGTAAATGTGCCCCAAATTTTTATATGTAAATCCCCTGCTTCGTACACATTTCACCAATTAATATTTTTTTTTATGATTTTGATTTTTTTGTTGATCTTTTAATATGAAATTTCCCCCATATTTTTATGGGAATTGCTATTTCTCACTGGTGGTAATTGTCACCACCTAAGGAATTATAACTCCGCCCCACGCAAATTTAATTCCTTGGGTGGTGATAATCACCACCGGTGAGAAATAGCAATTCTCTATTTTTATAATAAATTGATCAGCATTTCTCTGATTCATAGGAATCATCAATTAAAATTTTTGAAATATTACCACCATTAAATTCAGCTTTAAAAGTGGAGTCTATTAATCTAAAAAAAAAAATTTGTCTTTTCATAGATTTTTGAACAATTCCTTTGAAAAATTTTAAACTCAAAATGTCACCCTTAAGTGAAAGTCAACACAGTGAATCATCAGTCTATATAAAAATAATGTACCAAACCACAAAATAACTAAAATTGTTGGTGTTCATAAGAAAACAGTGACTTGTACTATAGTGGTTGTATCTGTTGATTATCCAGATAGTCGGTCATTCACCAAATATTTGCCAAATATCCACTGAATATCCATTGAATATGCATATTTTTTTTTAAGAAATACAAATAACAACAGATCAATTTTATTCATTTGGCTGTCATTGTGTGTTTCCAGCTTCACTAAATACAGTCAAACCAAGTTATCAGATAGGACATTTTTGTGTCAATTCTCCCCATTGATCACCATGTACAACTCACATCAATTAATTGTTTCTATGCATAATTTAGACCAATGATAAATCATCATGTAAAATCTGCTACAACAGCCCCTAGCAATCAAATACTATCTCATAGTACAACATGAATTACAGTGACTAGCACAAGTTAACCAACCAGAAGGACATATCAAGGATATTGAAAAAGACACAATTTTAATGTGTATGAACTGTGAAGTTAAACTGAAAGATAAGTTGTTTGCTTTAGATTGTGGATATGTAAGTTGTGGAGAGTGTCAAAGTCAATTCAAAGCACACAAAAAATCATGTCTTGGTTGTGGGAAAAAACAAAACAAGCTTTACAATTATTTGCATGAACAATAACATAGCAACAACAGTGTAATTATCTAATAGAAAAATACATTTTTAATGTTACAATGAAGAAATTTAATTAATATTCTACACAGTTTAAAAAAATCATGTAATTTTTTCTTTCCTTCATTCAAATCATTAAAAAAATTAAATATGTTCTACTTTGTGCTTTCTTTGCATCATTAAATAATTATAAAAAAAAAAAAAAAATTTTTATTATTATTACTTTTGTCCCAATATATTTTTAAATAATCCACCAAATATGGCTGACTCTTTTGTTGGTTTATGACCAGCTCTTTGTGATAGATTAGGTGGAAAATCTAAATAGTTGTATGCTATATCAAAAAATAATGGTTTTGCTGGAATAGGTGAAAATTCTGGAGGGAATTTAATTAATCGTGCATTTGTCTTTGAAAAATTGGTAGGATATTGATTAAGATTTTCCAACAAATAAGACTTTAAAAAAAAAAATATAATTAATAATAAGTTCATAAAATATAAATTAATTATAACATATAATTTATACAGTTACCTCTTCATCCTTATTTTCAAATTTAGACTCTTCAGTTTTATTATTTTTATTTTTATCTTCAATTTTCATTTCACTAAATCTTTTACTTAATTCCAAATTCTCTGAAACAGTACCATGTTGAAGACATCGTGATGCATGTACTTTACATTTATGAGCTCTTAACAGATTTTCTAATTCATCAACATCTTTTTGTGTAACAATTAGAATTTCATCATCATTTCCACTGTTATTAGAAGTTATTTTTGATAATGATGCTTTTGCTTGTGCATTATATTCCCTAGCACGCTCATACAATAAAACAGCTTCTAATTCTTTGTTTAGAACAGCATATGCTGACGCTACATATAGAACTCTATAAAGAAAATATTATTGTTGTTGTTAATAATAGTTATCATAATATATATATTTAAAATATTTACTCATCCTTTAATTACCTCCATGCTTTATAATACCAAGTTTTTGCATCAATTTCTTGTAATAAATTGAGATTAATTTGAACTTCGGAAAGATCATTAATCTCATTTAAACTCTTATTATAGTAATGTGATGTAATATATAAATGAAAACATTAATTAATGAAAACATCAATTTTTTGAAAATTAGATTTTTTACTTTACCTGAAGAACATTATCATATAATTTAACAATTTCTTGATATTTTCCACCAAAAAATTTAGCATCTGAACGTTCTTGAATTTTTAAATTATGTTTAAGTGTTTCCACAAGCATTAAATTACGCTGAATTCTATGGAATAAATAATTATATGCCACATAATCATAAACAAAATTAAGATCAGCTGTCAATTTTTCTGATTTAGAAGACTTGACTTTTGCTGTAGCTTCCTATATGCATCAAGGATTATAAATAAATAAATAAATAATAATATTTGGAAAAACCAATATATAATATATTAAAGAAAGAAATAATACTTTACTGCATCTTCCTTTACAACATTTTTAGCAAAATTTTCTGCATCACCATAAGCTTCCAAAAGTGCATCAAATAATTCCATTTTTGTTGAATCTTCAGCTTCTGAATCTAAAGCATTTTCAAGATTTTTTGTTGCATCTTGAGCTTTTAAAATGGAAATTGCCAAATCTGTATTTTTAAGAGATACAGTACGATTATGCCAAGTTATAGAATTAAGGAATGATGCTTTCTGTTGACGAGATTGTGTAAGCACAGACTATATACAATAAAAAATTTTTATTGTTAAAAAATTTTTTTTTTCAAATATCATTAAAAATATATTTAATGAAAATTATACCTCTACTTCTGCCTCTAATAAATCTAATCCAACTCCTTTATTTTTTCCTAATGTCATCTTTACAAGATCTTCAACATCTGTACCTAATCGTAATTTAAATGCACAAAAACGAATATTTGGGTCAATATCATCAATTGCAGATTGACATAAAGTTTCTTGATGTGAAGTTCCAGCTGCAGATAATTTTTCATATATTGTCCTATAAATAATGTTTTAATATTTATAATCAACTATATGTATCTATGCACTATTATTACTATTGTTGTTGTCATTATTATTATTATTATTATTACCTTGAAGCTGCAAATTTGTCTAATGCAGCTTGCCAAAGTTGTTTTTCAAATAACAAATATCCAGACATTAAAGAAGAGTATGCCTATTTATATGTTTTTAAATTTTTCTAAATAAATTCTGATAAATTTAAATATACACATATATATTTCTCTTTAAAAATCAAACCTGTGCTTCCAACACAGTCCTAGTATCAACTTTACCGATTTCTCTTGAGCACAAATGTTCTAATTGCTTGGCACATTTTTCTGCTTTTTTTAATTTTCTAATTAAATGATGTTTTTTACGTAAATCACCAGTAGATCTTGATTCTCTTTTCAATTCCATTGCATAACTCCAAGCACGTTCAGTATCAAACAATACAATGTGCAAAACTCTATTTAGATAACAAATAAGATTACAAAAAATAAAACTTATGAATTGATGAAATATTTTTCAAATATATATCATAATGTTTCACCTGACGTCATTTAAACTTGATACGTTTACTTCATTTTTTTGAGTGAATCTTCCTTTACCATGTGTAAATTTTAAAGATACTCGAAGGCGATGAATTTTTTGAGTACAGTACTGTCTATAATTAATTACTTTTTAATTATTAAAATAAAAATCAAAATATAAATATAAATATATGAAATCATACCTATAACGTGTATAATCTTGATGTCTAAGCCCATATGTATTTCTTGCTTCATTAGCAAGTGCCAAAACTTTTTTCAAATAAATTGATTATTAAAAAACCAGGTAGGTATCAGTATAATATTTTATTATATAATAACTGAAATTTAGATCCAAAGAAAAGTAAATTAAGGAAGATACTTGCTATCGAGTGAGAAAGTATTAGATTTATTATCATTAGCAATTTCATCAATTTCCATTTTTTTTTTTTAATATATTATTTCGAATGATGATCTATAAATGGCTGGGATGATGTTAATTAATTGATCGATAATAATAAATCAATTCCAATTTTAAATAGTGATAGACGGAAATTGTGAGATAACCAATTATAGTATCCATCTGATTGATTTTGATATGGGGCATGCTTGCAACAAAACCAGACAAAGTGAACATTGGCCCAAGAGTTTTAGGGATCAAAATTAGTCATTTGTAATGTGATCATAATTAATATCCATTTGTTATCTTAAGTGATATGGGGCATGCTGCAACAAAACCAGACAAAGTGAACATTGGTATTATCAAAGATTTCAGGGATCAAAATTTAGTCATTATCATCACATTTATAATGTGATTTCAGTTTTATAATTTTAGTATGAATGTAAGGGGTGTAATTATAAGATCATAAAAAAAGGACTTTATTGAAGTTAAATAGCCATTATAATTTTTAGATTCAGTATCCAATATATTTTCAACAAAAGGTTCAACTGACTCATTATTTTCTGTTATCAAATAAATAAACAACTTTTATAGTCACATGTAAAATATTATATGATACAAATTAATGGGGGAAGGAAATTCGCCTGGGTAAGAAATAAATGTTCCCTTATATATTACACATGTAAAATTATAACTGTAATTATTTGGCCATTGTGCACAAAACATTAAATATAAAAGATATTTAGTACAAAGATTTTTTTTTATGATAATGATAATGGTAAATTCTGCAAAGGTAAATATTATAAAATCAAGTATTTTGTTATTAAACAATTTTACTTATCATTGATTCCAATGACAATAAGATTTGATTTGTTTAAATATTAAGATATCAATATTTTTATCTGAGAACTTTTTGATTTCCATAGAGTATACTGTTGAAATCTAGTTCATCTTGTTTTGTAACATATAATTATATTTTTCTTTTAAGGATTAATAGTTTGTCTATTAAGTTTTTTAAAGAAGTTTTGGATAAATCCCATTTGTTGAATAGACATAATTTTGAAATTTTGCTGGATAATGGTTTACTAGAATTTGAAAAAGTTCTTCAGAGTCAATCTTCCTTTCATAACTATCCAAATATAGTCCCTCAAGTTGTTCACATGATACCAAAATTTGCCTTACATCTTTGACATCAGAAATTGAAGTAGCTAGGTAATGCAAACTTTGATAACAGTATTGAGCTATTGTTTCATTATGTTGTGATAATTTTTTCTTGCCATTTGGCCAGAACCCATATAAATCAAGAACTTTGATTTGTGAACAAAATTTTGTTAAAATTTACTAAGAACATTCAAAGATGGCAATTTACTTCCAATCCTAAGTATTTCCAGTCCTTTAAAAGTGGCTGACATACACATATCTCGGAAAAGGTCTTCTATATTATCATTCACCAAAATCTCCAATACTACCAGGTTTGAAAAATGACCAATTGTTTCTGGTGGCAAACATAACAATCCTCCAGTAAGAGTAAAATATTTTATAGAACTTGAAACTTTAATTAATGCTTTACTGATTTCTTTGTGTAGTTCTAAATTAACAATATTATAAACAGAACCATATACCACACATTCTAAATATTTTTGTAAAGAAATCAAATATGCCAATCCCCAATTATCACTTTTTAAATCTTTAATTACCAATTTCCTAATAATAAGACTACCATGATCATTTTCATTAATGAAAAGTTCATTAGAGCACATTGATGCTAAATGATAATATAAATGTGATAATGCTATGTTATCACAATGTAACTCATAAATTTGTGAAAAACATTCCCTAGTTCCTGATAAATATAGATGGACAAACTTTCATTAACATTTGATAAAAGTTATATTTAATGATATGGAAGAGAATCTATGTCATCATCATCATTTTTCTTTAGTCTCAAACCACAATCAAATACCCAATCCAGATGAAAAGCTGAAAGCACTCGAATAAAACTTGGATAATTAAAATTGGTAATGGTAGATGATAAATATCTTCTAAAATAATTGTGCCATCATTTGGTAAAAATTCTTTCCCTGCATGAGCTATCGATGATCTCAATAGTGCTAAGAAAAGTTTAGCACCACACGTTGAATTAGTCAGTGGATCAAGATATCTTTCAGTGTCTCTCCATAAGATCTTCTAAATATTTGAATATATATTTAATGCAGCTGTCTGGTAGTGAAATACAAGTTGTTCTTGGTGAAGAGCATGTTGTTCTTGGTGAAGAGCATGTTGTTCTTTCACGTCACTTGTTGTTTTAACATATAGATAAAATTGTTAGTGAGAACTTTAAATTTTTAAACTATATAATATTTACAACTTTAATTTATTAATTTATTTATAAATAATTAGTTGCAGTAACCACTCCTTTCCATGTCATTGACATACCTGGATTCAGTTACTTTCTTGGTATTCCTTGTAAAGAATGGGATTCTTACATGTATTATGAAGCATGGAAAAATGCTGGACTTTCTATGAATAAAATACATTAATGCAGGCATTTAATAGACAAGTTGAGTTGATAAAGTACATGGCTCAGGAATAGAGAGAGATAATGCTATATATGTTTGCTGAAATGATCATGGCATTAATTACACTACAGAGAAGTATATCACAATTCTAGCAGCTGCCCATGGGACTACGTCTCCATTACAGCCAGTTTGTGACTTGCTAATCTTCAGTTTTGGGATATGCTCATTTTACCTTGATTGAATATGTATATCTATTTTTACAAGGGGAAAATGGGACTCATTGACAGCTTTTGATTGAAGCATTCATCTGACAACCAACATATTTATTCATATCTTTAACAAGATCAATGCCACTTTGAAAGCTTGCTTGACAGTAAATTACAGACCATCTATGCCACTTTTAGCTAGCATATATGATGAATCACCAGCTTTTATTGGAGGTTACATTTTTATCCTTTAAGTTTTATAATGAATTTGTCCTTATTTTTTGATTTCATTATCTATGATCATGCATTTGATATTTCCAGAAATTTATATATACACAGTGAGTCTCGATTTAACAGATATTTTTTTCCAGAAAATTTATCCGTTAAATCGAGAGATCCGCTAAATCGAAACTTATGATCAAATCATGTGATATGTGTACACAAAAAAATTTTTTTTATTTAAAATAATTTTTGTACATAAAAAACAAAATATAACGGATAATAATAATAATAATAATAATATCATTGTTGACTCATAAATTCATCAATTCGACATTGTCTTGCTTCTTGGATACTTCTATAAGAAATCTCTCTTTTTAACTTCAATATATTTTTAATTATTTGAACAATCTTTCAATTATTAGCTTATAAAGAATAAAAAAAATGACACACATATATAAGTGTCATTGCTAAGAAATAGTAATAGTTAACAATTTTAATATTAATAATACATTATTACGTTATAAAATTATACTATCCAAAAAAGGCAAGGATCATTGTTATCCGTAATATCGAGAGAATTTTATTGTAAGTGACATATATGGATTTTTAAAAAATATCCGCTAAATCGAATATATATGAAAATCCGTTAAATCTGTCAAATCGAGATAAAATAATTATAGAAAAATTTGGTTTTGAAAATTTATCCGTTAAACCCCTAAATCCGCTAAATCGAGGTCCGCTAAATCGAGATTCACTGTGTATGCGTAATGATTCAAGAGAATAAAGATCTTTTATTATTATAGAAGATTTTATCCTTTGTATATACGGTATAGAGATCAACTTATAAACAAATGAACAATTAATTTTATTTAAATTTTTACTAATAAATATAAAAGGTATGAGTGAAGATTATAGATAATAAGCAAGAGAAATGGTATATACACATATATATAATATGAAAATATATACATGAGATGTATAATAAAATATGTAAAGAAAGATATACTTCTACGTAAATATATAATACACATATAAAGATATATATGAAAAAATTAGAGATAAAGTGGTTATAATTAGTAGTGATTGATGCAACATCAGATACCGAAATTTGTTCCTTTAATTTTTCTGCTATGTTGATTGCTTGGTTCACTTGTCTCCACATCAATATCGACTAATTTTCTTTTTCTTTCTTTATTAGAAGTAGTTTTATTCCCTTTTTGAAGATTTGTTTCTATATTTAGGTTGGATTCACTCAATTCATAGATGTCACCTTCACCATCATTATTATAAGTTGACACATTTTCTTGATTGTCATTCACAAATTCATTCCATGCTGCTTCAAGTTTGTCCAGATCATCCAACCATATATCTTGAGGGCTTTTTCTTGAAGTTAAATCTAATTCAGAGGATAATTGTTTCCTTCTATTCTCATACTTATCCAGTTCTTCTCTACTAAAGCTCCAACATATCATTCTCATAATGTAATCGTATCCTCTGATGTTTCCATTGATCTCAGTTTCCTTGGATGAATCTTCTTTGGTCGTCATGTCATCTATTTTATCAAATTTATGGAATTCGAGAAGTTTTATGATTTCCGCCTTCTTTAACCCCTCAAACTTCAATGTTGTGTCAAGCTTCATATGAAGAAATCTTATTTTATTATCTATTATATTAACTTGTTTCTGCAAATTTTTAATCAACTGATTCTATAATAAATATATGTGGTGAAATAAACAATAAATTAAAATATTGTTAGAAAGTCAAATAAAATATATAAGAATACATGTTAATAATTAACATACTTTTCTTTTGACATAAAGCTCCGATCGTTCATGATAAAATTCTTTTATGATGTCCTCTGCGGTCTCATATTTGGCAAGTTTATTATTTGGGTCAAAGCACATCATGTTCGATGTTGCCAGGGCAGTTGTTAATTGGAATGTCTTTTCGAGTCCTTTTTTTTCCGCCTTTTCCATTTGTTCAATGGTTAATTCAATTTCGAGATCTACCCTTTCATTGGTACAATTGTTTCTAGAAATGTTCCTAATTGTGTTGCTTTCTCTGAGATCAGTAAGAGTCTTGGATTTGTAATCCTCTGTCCATTTGCACACTGGAAGTTCAGATATTATAATGTGTGTGTCATCTTTTTTAGTAATTTTGCCATATGAAGTGTATTTATTGGCACCATTTTGTTTGATCTCCCCATAAAATCCATGATACCAAGGATGCATTGGGATCATTTCTTCTCCATTGATCTTTCTCCTCAAATTGTGGATAATGTCCCTGGGATTAAAATTAGGAATGCTAGTACTCCAACCCGTTCCTATGCCTTCTGTACCATTGACCAGAACCATTGGAATGATAGGAACGTACCATTTAGGTTCTATCACTTTACCATCATCATTCAGGTAATCTAATAAAATATCATCATCTGGGTGGTAAATCAGTCTTGCAAAATCAGTAAGTCTGGTGTTAATATAACGTGCACTTGCAGCACTTTTACCACCATCATTTCTTTTCCCAAACTGGCCGATAGGTTCTAGTAGATTGATGTTGTTTGATCCTACAAAGTCTTGCGCGAGGCTAATTATAGTTGAGTGAAGGCTGGCTTCGCCATGGTGGTATGCAGAACACTCGGAAACAAATCCCGATAATGAAGATACTTTAAGCTGCTCTTCTTTTACCAAGTTTTTTTTAATGCAACTATATAATACTTTTCTTTGTCCAGGTTTTAAGCCATCTATTACTGAAGGAATTGATCGGATATTATCAGAAAGTGAAAATAATGACAACTCCTTATTTATGAAATTTTTTATTGTTATTTCATCATCATCTAAATAATCAATATGTGCCCCATCTTGAATGTCACTGATCCAAATTTTCCGTTCATCTGTGTCTTTCTTGGTAAATGCCATTTCCACAAGTTTGTGATCTTCCTCATCCATTGGCTTAAAATATTTTTACATGTTTTCTGAGATCGCTAAAGTATTGTTTGGCTTCGTCTGATGTACTAGTCCCGAGTCCTTTATAATATTTGATCATCCAACCTTTTCCATTTTCATTTTGTCGTTTCCATTCTTCGTATTCGGGTATGGTGTAAAATGATATGGTATTCTTGTTTTTAGTGCATTTTATGATGGGGGTGATGAACTCCTGCAAAAACCCAGGTTGTTTCAGCAAAGATGGGTAAAAATGGTCAAAAAAATTTATTATCAATCCCTTGATGTGGCTACCATCAAGGTCTTGATCTGTCATGATCATCAATTTTCCATATCTAAGGTCTTCGACTGAACAGTATTCTTTATTGTGTTGCAGTCCTAATATTTGTTTAAGTGCTTGCACCTCTCTATTCACTGATATTTTTTTTGGAGATGCATTACGTACATTTAATAACTTACCCCTGAGTGGGTATACACCCCAATTATTGCGTTCACCAACAACATCAAGGCCTGATAATGCAAATGACTTTGTTGAATCACCTTCAGTAAGAATTAATGTACAATTTTGGGCAAGGCTAGTACCTGCATTCACAGCATCATCTAATTTTTCTATGTAGATGGTTTTTCTTTTTAATCCAATTATAAGTTTATCATTAAGAAAAACCTCTGTATCTTTCATTGTTTCAGCTATATCATACACACGTTTACTCAACAAAGCAATTACATCATCAGTTAATTCAGTCATTCCAAATCTCATTAAGTCTGGAATAAATGATATCATAGTATGTTCCTCTTCATCATCCTCGTAATTGCTGATAATCGGTTCATCGATTTTTGACATATTATTATAAAATGATTGTATGTATTTTTTTTTTTTGTGTTGCATCAGTTGTTTCTACAGTAAACTGAGTGCTGAAAATGTTTGCGAATTTCGCACCAAGTCCATTTCTACAACCGGTGACTCTCTCTTCATCATTATTATAATTTGATGATGTCATAAGTTGTCCAAACAGCATTTCTGGTACATATACATTTAACTCTATGAAGTTCTATTGGAATACCTTTTCCGTTATTGTATACAGAAATTCTTTTTAATTCTTTATCAAATTTGACTTTTATTGTATTCATTGAAGGATCTCTGATCTTTTGTTTTTTGAGGAACATTGTTATTATTCAAAAAAGATTTTTTTTGAGAAAAATTGTTGAAAATCATTAACCATAAGTCAAATAAATTAATCATGTAGTTATCCGCAAAAAATATCCGCAATCGCCAAATCGATTTCTAAATAAGGATAACACGCACCCAATCCGCCAATAAAAATTGAATATTCTGAGGTTTCACGAAATTTGTGGGTATTTTTTGCGGATAACTACATGATAATGTCAAATATTACCTTATTATCAGCAGCGTTAACAAGAATTTCATCAAAAATTTTGAAAAATGCTGGAACATATGTGATGTCTTTGTATTCCAGTTTGTCATCATTGACATTATATGCCCATTGCTTCTCTGTCAAAGCTTCGACGGATCCTACGTAAGTATCTGGTCTTTTTAGGATGTGCTCAATTGGCGAAAGCTTGACGTAAGTTTCAATTATTTTGTTGGCACTGAGTAAATAAAATGGATGTAAGTTTACATATATGTTAAATTTTCATAAACCACCACCATTCTTTGTTAATAACTAGAGTGACGATGAGTGGTGGGCGATAACCACCATCACCATCCTTAAAACACTTACCCATCATTTCTTGTTTTTTTATTACTTTTATTTGTAAACGAGTTTACGCGAGAAATTTTTATTATATAACAAGAGTTTTTTAAAAAATATTGAGTTAAAATGAGTTTTTTTTTACGCGATTTATAATAACAAAGTTTTTTTAAAATTTAACTAGAGTAACGATGGGCAGCAGGCGATAACCACCACCATCCTTAAAACACTTACCAAGCTACTTCTTCCCAATTATCTTTGGTGCTTCTTTTTGCTTGACGTGGCATTAATAATAATAAAAAAAAATAAAAGAAAGGTTTGTGATACAATTGACACGTACACACTAATTATTTATCCTATTGGTTTTTTTTTGGTAGGACAGACGCGAATTGATTTTTTTTTTCTTTCTTGGAAAAACAATTTATTTTTTGATGGTATCCAAGGTGACAAAACGTGAGTGTTGTTGTTTGGTTTGGTTTGGGTCTCCTAAAGAATACGTGTTAATAACTAATCAGAGGTACTATTTTTTACTTGTATTGATATTTTTATTTTATATAATGTATATTATTGGAATCAAAATGCGAAGCAGATCTTGCTGGGTAATTACAGGATTTTCATTGATAATATTTTGCTTAATAATATTATTATAAATATTATAATCACAAGATATCAAGGCAGCACACCATTTAAATTGAAACATTTCGAGTATGCAATGTTTGATTATCGGAAATTTACAGGCGTTGAAGCACGCATGCTGCCTTGAATACTTTACAGTCATTCTCGTGTATTCCTCATGTACAAAAGGCTAATCTGACCATGGCTCCCCGATGATACAATGATGCAACGGAACTCCAGGGGAGGTGTATGGCCCTAGAGTTTACTGATACTGCACCAATTGTCAAGGACACTTTCACTAATCTCCCCAGACCAGAGATGGCTGCTGGCATGCTAGCCAAAA